CAGACGAATTATATTTTCTCCTTTTTTTTCAATTTATTCAACAATTAAACTTGAAATCAATTCGCCTGCATTTCTCTGAACTTGAAAAACTGGCATATTATGTAAATGCTGGGAAAGGAGCGTTAAACAGTAATAAAAAATGAAAAGGGGACCAAATCTTTTGACTCATGGATGCGGGTGAGTTATTGCAGCCAAGTCAATGGGCCAATGAGCAATGCGTGTATCGCTGTAACATTTCACTAGGTAATTTATAACTTTACTTTTTAATTAATTTGTCTAGTAGCTGAACAATGGGAGTGTTCGCCAACTTATACAACTACAGCATGGTCATAGTTTTCGGAAGAAATATGAGGCTAAAACATCTGGATTTCGGACTGTAGACACTCTATACTTTGGGAGCAAACTTTATTAACCATATTACATAAAAAAATATAAACAAAAAAAATTAATTTAATACATTTTTAAGTAATAATTTTATAAAAAAAAAAATTTAAATCTCAAATATTTTTGACCAGAAGCCAAAACCTAAATACTTGTTGAGCTAATGAAGTTTGCACACTCAATCCGAAATCGCGTGGCTTGTCGAAATTGAAATGAAAATTTCGCAAATAATTATGTGGGATGAGCTGATCATATTTTGTGGTTAATTTCCTAGCCAGGGAAAGTGCAAAGGTGAAAGGACGCACCGCCGGTGAAAGGAATAATAAATAGAGGAAATCAAATAGAACCAGTACAAGCCCCGGGGCGAAATCAATTTAAACATAATAAGATGGTCACCCTGGTAATTGTCTGCTAATGGCTTCATTACAAGCCGCAAGACAGCGAACACGGTAGTTAAAGGCAAGTCTGAAAAATAGTATAAACAAAGCAGCAGACTTGAGACCTGACCTAAGGCAATATAATCAGTCGGAACCCCCCTTGAAAAAAAACCCTCCATCATCGTGAGTCACAAGCACGCGACTTGTGGTCGCCAAAAACCTCTGAGAAATACACAAAAGAGTTAACAATGTCTCGAAAAAGAGTAATATGGCTTGAACAAAAAGAGAAAACCCCGGTCGAAACCAAGCAGTGCAAGCAGTTCGGCGTCAGCGATCAAATAAACAAACGCGCAGCCGCCAAACCACATTCAGTTTCAATTTGAACGCTGCGCATGCGCCGTGTATAAAAAATTCGCGCACTCCGCTGTCTTCGCATCGCTTTTTTATAACCGTTTTTCGGTTCGTTTGTTACAAATCATTAAAATCAAATCTTTGTTTTTCTTTTTACCCACAAAAAAACCAAGACACACATCGTTTAAATTATGAACTGTCAATATTAGTTATCATTATAAACCCGTTGGGTATTTGACAAATATTTCGGCATGTGAAAGTTTGCTAAAAACCCGAAATTTTAATTCTTATACAAAATTTGCATATGGTGTAAAATGACACAAAATAAATTGTGAAATTTATGAAAAGTGAAGTAGAACAAGTTGAAAAAAGCTTTATTGTGACAAAACAAATGACCCTCTCGAATGTATCTAGATGTGTGCCCCAATTTCTTTGAAAAAGTGAAAGAAAAAGATTTTAAACGTTTATTGAAAATGCGATAAACGAGAGATCTGCATAGGCTGTAGAAAATATTGCAAACTAAAAAAAAGATATCTGTGTTTATTGGGGCTTAGCTGAAATCTTCAAAATTTCACTCTAAAAGAAAAGAAAACCTTTCCTAAACACTTTCGTAGACAGGTTTCCCCAAACCTCTTATGCCGTACAATAAAATGAAATAAAATATGTTTTCAAAACAAAAAGCATTCTTTGGTTTGTCACCGTTATAAACCAGATTAATTTATGCATAAGATAAGAAGACAACGCCCCTATCTTAGAACATTATACTTAAAAATATTTCCTATGCAAATCTTTTGTTTTTCGTCGTCGTTGTTAAATCAAGTCAATTAAATAAGTTCGGCGTCTGTGAAATACTTTCAGTTGCTTAACAAATATGCTTCACTAGGCCATTAAGCAAACTGGAATACAAAACAGAAGTTAAATAATTGAAAGTGTGTGAGATTCAGAGGAATAAAATGCGGATCCCCAAGGGAAGATTGAGCGACTGGCTGCTGCCATTGGCATTTGGTAAGTGGATATCTTTAAATTACCAAGATTTACCACTAAGTAAACTTAGTTAGAATTGATAGAAAAACCTGTTTGTGGGTTTCATTTCGGTTTTTTTCCTGTGGACTAGGTGACTGAACGGGAGCAAGGTCGTTTGTGTCGCACTAAAAACAAAAATGTCGTTTTATGTTAGCCTGCCAAAAAAATAATATTACAGCTTATGCAATTCCTGTATCCACCACCAACAACTCCCCCTCAAAGTGCAGTAAGCCAAAAATGCATTGCTTTACGAAATGCCAACCATTGCACTGCGGGGCTTTGACCATCAATTGCCCGTTGACAATATGAAAATGAAGTTTAAATACCTTACGATGCGACACCGTCCGACATTCGAAAATCCCAAATCCCAAATACGTGCGCAAAGTTGCGTTTTATGTATATTTGTGTATCGTAGCGAAAGTACGCGAAGCGATCCATCGCGGATTCGTCCACGTCTGTCAGGCTCTGCGGATAATCCGCACAGTGGATGCCAAAATTTAACGCTCACTTTTATGACATTGCTTACATAAAATCTAACTTGATTGAAAATATGAACTTTTATAATGATTGGGAATTTGCTCTACCAATTTAATGGCAATAAATAATAACTGGGTGGTCAAAGCAAAATATTGATCATTACAAATTTTAATTGAAAATAATATTACATAAATTCAATTGAAATGTTATATTATAATAATCATTTTGTAATGCACTAGATGTAAACAATCACCCGATAATAATAATAAACTTGTGCGCCATGGTCAATTTAAAAGCTATCCTTTCATATTACTGATTTAAATCAATTAATAACGCCATAGCAATGGCAGTTCCACTGTCAAAACGATAGAGTAATCCATGGAAAACCTTGTGTATTGATGGAATGGCATACAAATTATTATCGCCATCAACATTGACGGCATTCGGTGACGGTGCATTACAGCGCCAAGTGGATATCTAAACTGGACGCCAGCAGTAAAACCTGGGGATGGGAAATGGGGAGTACGGCAGAAGGGATCCAATGTTCGAAGCCATGGGGCAAAGTTGAGGTAAACGTGCTCCACATCGAGTGCGCGGCATTTGCAGTGGAAAATGCAATTTTCCATCGGTGGAGCAAGGAATGTGTGCATTTGTCTGGCACTGACTTCGTGGGAGATTGGGCAGATGTTTCGGAATTTGCATCCATGTAAATAAAAATACCTGGAGCGGGCAAAGTTCGTCCGAAATATTCCCATCTGCATAACACCATGGAGGATGAGAAACAATTTTACCATCCCTAAAATAAAACACACACTTCCCGTAGCAATTACGTTAATAACTTCCTAAAAATGAGCAACTTGGCTTGCCTAATTCCCAACCACCAATTACAGTCATCATCGTCATTCATTTAACACCCAAAAAAATATCCGAAATTCAGACCAAGTTCACTAATAGCCAACAACAGTCAGCTTTGCATTTTACATAATTTGCAAGTTTTGTCAACTTTCTGCGGTGCTTAATAGTTGCAGGCCCACAATTTGAAGGTCCATAAATTTGCTTTGGGGCAGCCGACAGCCAGCTGCGGATATATGTACGTATGTATATGCTCGGAAAAACAAGATTTTTCACTTCCACATGGTGAGGATGGAAAAAAAAAACAAAAGAGGGGGAGTTTGGGGCGTGAAAAGAAAAAGTAAAATGTTTGCCGAAAAAAATAAAAGAAACGGAAAACCAAATGTAACCACAAGTTGGCGGACACTGTCTGTGTCAATGACTCTGAAATGGTTTCAACGCGAATTTCTCGTTTCGCTTCTCATTTGGCCGTTTACATTTCACTGATCACCGATACACAACTTACGGGTCAGCAGCGTACGTGGACTTTATTAGCAATTGGATAATTGACATAATAAGATGTTCAAATGGTTAGAAAGCAGTCGGTGCTCCGTGCCCAGCCTGATCTGTTTGAGCCACTTTCGAGAGCCAAATGGAGTGAAGCATGCTTAACCCTCGTTAGTTAAAGCCAAGTGACATACAAGCTAAATACAATAAAACTTCTACATAACAAAAATTCATCTAGATACTTTTATATGACCAGAAACAAAGGGAAATTCAAAAAGTATGTATTTATGGTCAATGGCAAAAGCATCTGACTTTTGCAAATTGATTTTTTTTAAATAAAGAAAACGAAATTATTTTATAAAACATTGCTCTAGACCTTTTTATAAACTTTAAAAATATTTTTTAATGTCGCTAAACAATCAAACATAAACATATAGATTCTGTCACATATATCATTCAATTTAAGACCTATTCATAACGCATTATACCTCAGTTTTAAGCTTACAATCGTGAATATAAATATTTCCAAGAATTTTTAGCAAGTCAGAGAGCTTTTGATTATCTTACATCTCAATTGCGGGCCATAAAAAATATCAGATCTTTGCTACGCTACACAATAAGCTGGTTTTAACCCGCAATTCAATTTGTTGCCAATTAAAAAATGATAAACAAAATGAATAACTACAAAGACGCCTTTAACACCCTTATGACCTTTTAATATTTATCAATGTACAATGTATACGTTAGCTTGAAGATTGAATAATATTTCTATTTAAAGTATTTTCAAAACTATTTCAAAGGTTTCTTAGGATGTGTCGTAATTTTGTTTTCCTTAAATATATAAGCAACATCTTCATTAAACACAGAATTGTGAACCAACATTTTTTACTCAAATCGGTGGTATTACATCCTGAAAATCGCATTTCTTATGAAAATATGTGTAGGTTACAAAGTTATTAGTGTCCATTGGGGGTCAAAAGATCCCAAATTATCCCAAGCAGGTTAAAATGTGAGTTGTGGGCGTGAATCGTATAAATATTCACAGCACTGGTTCTCTAAGCCTCAGTTTCGATTCTATAATCAGCGAACGAGATGCACGGAAGCACCAAACTGGCATTGACCTTGGCCTTCGTGCTAACTTACTTGGGATGCACCCAAGCCCAAGGCCAGGGTGACCTCTTCCGGTGCAATGTGATGTACAAATGCTCGGATGAGAAGGAGTTGGTTTGGGCCATGGCCGACGAACGTTGCCACGTGTTTCACAACAGGTGTCTGCTGAAGGTGGAGCAGTGTGCCCGAAAAAATAGTGATAAATCGGAGCTGGTCGAAACCACCCGGGAAATCTGTCAACCACATTGCACCAAGGTCTGTGCGGATGTCTATGATCCCGTGTGTGCGCAAATCTTCCAGGAGGAGTATATTACCTTCAGCAATGAATGCGAAATGCGAAACAATATTTGCACTAACGAAAGGCGTAAGTGAAAAATAGGGCACCATATAAAGATTATTCACTGATTTGATTTCTATCCCAATTTAGCGTACTCCTACTTTGCGATTGGTGAATGCGTTGAGCGACCTGTTGGTTAAGGACTTTAAAAGTCCCACTTATTGAATTATTATTTATCGTGACTGTAAAATAATAAACTGAGAAAAAACAGTTTTTAAAATAAATTAAGGAAAGTTCTGACTTTAAAAGATGGTGTCCTTTACAATTGTATAAAAATAAGCAGAATTCATTAAACTATCTGACAAAACACAAGCACAGGTAGAAAAAAGTATACAAAAAAACTGTTTTCGTTTTAGTAAGACCACTGTTTTTAACCCAACAACTGAAACCAGGTTTTTCTTTAACCGGACATAACACGTACTATTCGTTCCCTAAACGCAATTTAACCCACTTATTTTGGAGCGCCTTGGCCAAAAACAGGATTTGCTGTGCAACCACCAACATAAAAAAAAAAAATAAAATAAATGAAAATAAAAGCAAAGCTGTCTGCACAGATGTTTTGCAATCATGTCTTTAATTTTTTTTTACTGGCCAACAACAAGTTGCACAACTTTTACGCAGCCACTTTGGCCAGCGATTCAAGTTCAATGTTGTCCGGCTTTTCCAGCGACCACGCTTCCACCAATCGTTTCCTGATTGGCCGCGATTGATCGGATTTAATTAAGGAAAAATTTTGCATTTGCAATATGCAAAAACTCATTTGAGCAGCCAGCCGGCCACAAAGAAACTCCGCAGCGCCAATGTCCTCGGGGCAATTTCGCAATTACGCGATGTCCGAGCGAGCTGGTTGCAACACTTTCCTCAGAGTCCCCATCGAAATCTGTCCAGGTTGCAGTTCCAGCCCACAGATTTGCTTTCATTTGAACAACCCAGGCTACTTTTCATTATACCCTAGCAGAGGGTATCATTCGTTTTCTGGCAGAAGAAGTAATTAAAATATTTGAAGGCTGTTTAGTGAAAAATTAGACTAGTTAGGCAACAGGATTTGGTTTCTCGAGTCCCTGTCAAAGTTTCTGATAGCTACATGTCCGGAAAAATTTAAAAACTAGTAAACTTGTAAAAGCAATTCGGGTTTCTCGACATATGTAGTTTATCTGAACCAGAAAGGCTCCAGGAACCAAATTTCTTTAACAGGGACTTTATCTGACCGAAAAAGGTTAACCGAAACTCGAGAAACTGGGTCCTTAACAAGTTAGATAATATCAGGCCCAATATAAAAAAGTAGAAAGTTTAATATAAATAATATTACTTTTTATCTTAGTGAATTTCATAACATTTTAATCGAAGGATCTATAAAAATATAAATTTTTTTATTTTCAGAGTAGCATTAGATTGTAAAAGCCTTATCACTCGACAAGGGTATTCGGAATTTTATTCCCTAATGCCTCCGCCTCCACCTTTCTTGTTTCCATTTTCATGCAGATTTGCATTTCTTGTAAAGTTTCTCGCTCTGAAAGTCTCTCATCCACTTTTCACCCAATGGATTTGATTGTTTTATGGCCGTTGGCAAGTTTACACAATCCCATGCCGAACCGAATAGTTATCAACTTGTCCGAGGAGCGAACTGCAAGTCAAGTGCCTTTTCACAGGCGGAAGACATGCATACTATTTACTACAAATTTCCCACAGCCGAAACAAGCTCAACGCCTTGTTCGACGCCTTCGATAATAACTTAATTGATTTATAGATCTCCCCCTAACCAATATTTCGACGGTCCCGTTTTTGGCTTTTTCCACTGTGCGGGGGTAACAAACCGGTGTTAAGAATTGGTTTTCAATTTTGCTTTGATGTCTTGAGGTCATTAAGTCTTGATTGTCTCATCTCGACTAATGACAAAATTTGAAAGTCTAACAGAGCATATTCAAAAACTCATTTGTTTCGCTCTCTAATTAACAAACAAAGAAGTTCACGTGTTACACTTACGTTCATAATAAATTCGCAAATGAAAATTGCATAAGAAAATCCAAAACAAATAAAATACTCCAGGGTAAAATTAAGCGCTTGGCTGATTTAAATTCAAAGAAAATTGGAGTGTAACAAAAATTATGCATAACGTATTTTGTGTAAAATTTCGAGGACTAACATATCAAATGGCAATGGCTTTCAATTTTTTTTGAATTTTACTAACTATCTGAAAATAAATTAAAAATCTTTAAAACGTTTTCATTATTTAAAATCATAATTTTACTACTATAAAAGGCTAGTCCATAACAAGATATTTATTTATTTATTCAAAGAAGCTGAACCATTTAAAACTCATAGCCGACAAAACCGTTCTGAAAGGAAGTTTTGCCATACAAAACGATTTTGAAAGTAGTTTCAACCACATTTGTCTATTTTTGGTGCTATGAAATTGACGATCAATTTTTATGAATCTGTTGAAGTGTTATAATTATTTTTAATTCTCTGTCCAATTTATTTAAACAACATTTTCAGTTTGAATCGCTGCAATGCGGCACATTGAATAATAACCAAAACATTGAATGGGCATACCTGCTGCGATTCCAAGCCAAGTCCTAAATTACCTCACACGACCGTAAAAACTGGGCTAAAAGCAAAAGCCACAAAATAATAAGAAGCGAAAAATTGCATGAGCAGATGCCTTGAATAAAGCCAGCATGAAGTAGACAGAAAAAAAAACTATGCCTTAGGTGTAAACTGTGTGAATATTTTTCGGTTATTACACGCATTTTGTTATTATTACTTACCCCCATCCCCTTGTTTTTTTATTTTTGGCAACTACACGAAGCCTTTTGGCCAAATAAAGTCTTAAATGAAAAATGTCAACACATGAGACGATGTTTTCCATGATTATTAAAACGAGTAAGTGAAGTGGAGTAAGGTGGGGTGGCCGTAGATGATGTGTAATGCCAACAAAATGCCGCATTTGGTAAGAGACATTCCATTGTTATTGTTAGTTGACGTTGTAACTGTAACTGAGCCTAGAGCCAACTCAGAAATTGCAGATGTACTTAGTGCAATGATGACGGGCTCGTGCGTAACTGGAATGGGAAACCAAGTTGATTTTGGCAAAACGAAGTAAATGATACTCTGGCAGTTTGAACTATTCCTATCGATAATACTATCCACCACCAACGTAGTTGTTTTAAGGAAACAGTTCACTCCTTATAAACCTTTTTTTTGAGTGAGGGAATTTTTTGTAATATGATGACAACATAGATAAAAATATTGAGCCTTAAAAAATACCATTAGAAATATTTTACTTATCATTTTTAGGTCGCTTTTGAACATGAATACATCCAGTTAAACCATAAGACATTGTTATTAAATACAAACCATTCAGAACTATAGTGTATAACTCTTCAGTTGAGGTATGGTAATGGTGCTATAACCAAAATCGTAACACGCTTTGAAAGTGTATCACAATCAACCCACCCAGCGTCTTAAGATGCTTATATATGTACATTTTTCATTCACCTGATGACAGTTGACAGCATGACATAATTGGGCCTTGTTGTTAAAGTTACGGCTCGGTTTAATAAAATTGTGCACCACCCAGCTCTTTCTTGGGCCAAGAAGTGTTGGCATTCGGGCCATAATTAGTGGTCTAATTACCAAGCAAGTGATATATGAACTAGTTGGCCCACCGCAGTGAAAGTTTCAACAGCTCCCTGTAACAAATATTTATGGGCCAAGTGGCGCGTGTTAAATTAAAGCCGCATGACTTAAAAAACCATACCACCTGCATAGATGAAATTACTTGGCTTAGAGCCAAGCAGAAATCGCAGGGATGACAAATATGGTTAAAAGCAACTGAACCCGTCTCGATAGCCAAGTGCACTTGTTGCGTCCGATTGCACAAAATAGCTGAATAACTGAAATGGTTTGCCTTATTGCTAAAAAATTATATACAATAAGCACATCATTTGGGATGCGACTCGGGGATGGAACAGGTTAATTGGTTAGCTGGCGGAAAGTTGGTATTCCATTGATGTAATGACCGTAATCACAGGGAATTTAAGCAGGCTCAATCGAACGTGGAATTTCCTTTCATTCGTCGGATCAGCGATTGTACTCTTCCTCGGTGAAAAAGTGAACGTAATTTAAAAACGCTTAAAGTTTAGTTTTATAGGTTCACAAAATACAGAATGTCTAATTTACTGGTCTGCAAATCACTCATGGGGTTTAGTAATTAGTAATAAAAACCAAACTTTTCAAACTAACCCGAAAATTACAGTTGCCTGGTTAAAAATACGCACGTTATAGGACCGAATATTTTTCCTTGCTATACATAAAGATAAAAAAAAAACCTCTGCGATATTAAACACATTTTTAAAACGACAATTGACCTCGTCTGGAAAACAAAATCTCACTAGAAAAACTCCTATAATATGCATGTTTCTTTGAAGAACGCCTCTTTTAAATTTTTAATATGATTGATGATTAAAACATAAATGTTAATTGGATTAAACCATAACTAACAATTTAAAATCCAAAAGAGGTGTATTTTAATCAGAAATATTTTTAAATATTCAAGGAAATATAAAAGAAACAAAAAATGTCTTAAACGTGGAATGAAAGGAAATAACTTTTATGATTCACAACTGAAAAAATTAAGAATTTATTTGATGATGACTGATACATTGAGTCATCACATTACCAACACAAAATTCAAACTCTTAAACTAAACCAGGAAAATCAAATCAACGTGTTGTGGCAATTTTCAATTACATTTTCCGTTGCATTGCACATGACGAATTGGACACGCCAACTGCTGTATGGGAGCATAGAGCAAAGTTGTTTCTTTAAAGAAATCCAATTTAGCTGCAGGATTGACTAATATTTCAATTTCGATGTCAAACTGTCAGAAAATAAAAACCAAAGCCGAAGTAGAACAAATGTGATACTGATCTAGTTTAACCTAATAGTTTCGGTGTTTCAGTTTTGTGACTCTGATATTATTTACTTGACTTGCATTTATATGGTGGTAATTAATCTCCTAAAGTTACTAATTTGTGGATGTTACTCATTTGTCAACTGAGATAGTCAAGGTTAATCTTGCGGTTTGTGTGATGATGATGATAATTTATAGGCACTTTTACTCAAACTTTTGTTCGGCTCCTTTCAGCTGGTTATAAATTAACCCAATTAGGCACAAATCAAAACTCAACTGACCTCTTTCGCTGACCTCAGGTTAAATTAGTGTGTTTCCCTGGAAGAAACGCTA